ATAATAATCCACCTAGAAATACGTTATTGTATTAATGTTAGAGACTTTGATAAAAAACTGAAAACCAATAAGGTTTCAGTAATAGAACATAGACAGTTATGGACCGCATCCAAAGTCTTTCTTACTTAATTCTAATTATATTAATTTTAAAAACTAAAAATTAATGACAACTATAATAAAATTATTTAATTACATTCAAAATAAAATTATTTGTACTGTTATGTAAAAAAAAAAAAAACTAATTAACATAAACCCTCAAGCATGTTCACCAAAACATTAAACCCTCAAGCACTACCACGCGTTGATTCTTCCCTCCCATACCAAATTTCCACTAGTCTTGTCGGCCATTAATCTCCTCAATTCAGCGAAAGTCCTATTTCTTACATCAAAAGAAACAAAGAAACAACAAACGCGTTTTTCTTTTAGGACGATATTATCTACACTAATGGAAATGAGAGTACGTTTAGTCTCACAATGAGTTAGTAATAATGTAGTTTAAATTTGTTTTTGACGAGAATCAAACCTAAGACCTCTAACTTACAAGTTTAATATCTTCTTACAATAAAAAAATATTTCTATAATAAAAAATAAATATGAATAAGTTTGCACCCATTAATTTTTTATAAAAAGACTTTTAAATTTTAAATCTTAAGTGTACCCATTTGTAAATATATCAATTTGTTATATGTAAAATATATCATTTTTAATATAAAATGTACCCCTTGTTAATATAAAATTCATTCAATTTTTTTAATCTATTTTTTTTAACTTACATGGGTACATTCTATTTCGTTGATTTGTGAATGTCTAAATGTCAAGTTTAATTGAAGAAATTTAATAATGTTATCAAGCTTAATATCTTCTTTTTTTTTTTGAAAAATGTACCCATGTTTTGGTACAATATTTTTTTGGTTAATTTTGATGAATGTATCCAAGTTTATACATACAATATATTGGAGAGCATAATTTATCATTTAATATTTTTAATTCCACAAATGATAGGTTTTATTTAAAATCTCATTAATATAAACAACTACAAATATCATTTTTTTAATTTAAAAAATATAATAATCCACCTAAAAATACATTATTGTATTAATGTTAGAGACTTTGATAAAAAACTGAAAACCAATAAGGTTTCAGTAATAGAACATGGACAGTTATGGACCGCATCCAAAGTCTTCCTTACTTAATTCTAATTATATTAATTTTAAAAACTAAAAATTAATGACAACTATAATAAAATTATTTAATTACATTCAAAATAAAATTATTTGTACAGTTATGTAAAAAAAAAAAAAAACTAAATTAACATAAACCCTCAAGCACGTTCACCAAAACATTAAACCCTCAAGCACTACCACGCGTTGATTCTTCCCTCCCATACCAAATTTCCACTAGTCTTGTCGGCCATTAATCTCCTCAATTCAGCGAAAGTCCTATTTCTTACCTCAAAAATGTAGTTTAAATTCGTTTTTGACGAGAATCAAACTTAAAACTTCTAATTTACAAGTGAAGAAGAATACTATTAGACCGTAGTATTAAGTGGCACAACAAACACATTTTTTTGAGTAGAGTAATTCGGAAATGGATCATCTCCGGTACTCAATAAACACATTTTTTTGAGTAGAGTAATTCGGAAATGGATCATCTCCGGTTCTCTTCCTCCTAATCCACCAAGTTCCGGGATTCGGATCATTGAAATTTGATTAAACAACTACAAACAGGAGCTCACTTTAAAAATTATAATAATTTTAGTTGTTTGATCAAATTTCAATAACTTGGATCTTCGAACTTCCCTTTCCGGGCAATTCTATCCTTGCCTGCCCTTTGCAAGTTGCATACGATTCCAATGTTCGAAGAAAAGTTCTTTGGAGTGAAGGGTAGGGTCACCAAGTACCAAATTGGTCCATTAATTTTCCTAACACAATGACTCCTTATTCGGGGTAAGGACTTACCACGAGTCTTACCTAAGCCCCTTCAAATGTTATCGTCGCGTCCCTCACCAATACTACAACACGTCTTAATATAAGCTTTTTATGTAGCACTGAATAATTGATTTGAATACTGCCATTTTTGCGTCTCCCTTTCATTTAACATATTTGCAGAGCCACTGTAGTTATTATCACTATCCTATTTAGTTTTGAGCATAAGATATATTGACTAAGGTTTGCGGTACATAATACATTTGTGTTCAATCGAATAATATGCCAAGTTTAATTCAATTGGTAACTCAAGTCAAAACACCAAGCCACTTTGGTTGTCTTATTGAATTTCTAGTAGCAGTAAGTCAAGTCAATGCCTGGTCTTGTCGTCTAATCTAATGTAATTTCTAGCAACAGAAGGGCATGTCACTTTTTACTTTTTTTTTTTCAATTTTTTTAACAAGTGATATTATTTACATTAATTTATATGACTATAATTAAAAAGAGATGTGTGAAAAATTAAATTAGGTATTTGGAAATATTTTTTTTTTGTGTGCGAGAATCTGTTTAATTTTTTCCCAACATGTCAATGGTATTGAATAATATTTTTGCTTCTTGTAAAGTTGCAGTGTATAGTAAGCTCAACACCATTGCAATGTAGTCTCTACCACAGCAAAAGAATTTGGGTAATCTGGAGTTTTCACCATTAGATTTTAATTTTTATATTTAAAAAAAAAGATATAACAGTTAAAATACCCGGTGTACTGGATACTTAGGAGCACCCAAGAAATCCCATCACCAATATTTTTACAATTTAGTCAATTAGTAAGTCAAGTCAATACTTAACCACTCAAGTTGTCTTTATCTAATCTAATAACTTATTTACTCCAACGCCCTTGAAACTCAACCTTCCTCTCACTTTTTAAAAATTTCTCACTTAACTCACTAAGGGGGCGTTTGTTTCACCTCCTTAGGAGGGACTGGACTGGACTGGACTACAGTCCCATGTTTGATAGGTGTTGGGACTACGTTAAGTGGGACTAAAGGGGACTCGTGTGGACTACGGGGCTCGCTAGGTAGTCTTAGCGAGACCCCCCAAATACCACCGGATTGCTAAGATCGTTGCTCTGCTTGACTCCTCGGCGCTTTGCTCGACTGCTCACCCTGCTCGACAACCTCACCGAACCATCCCAGGACCACCGCCGCGTCCTCGTAAATCGCCGCTCTCATTTCCTTCTTCCTCACTGCCTCACACATTAAAAAATCCAAAACATCCAACCCCAGATTCGAAGTCCACAACCTTCGACAACCCACAAACAGAGACAAATTTAACAAAGAAGACAGAATCCAAACAAAAAAACAGCAGCAGAGAAGACATAATCCAACCCCAGATTCGGAGTCCACAACCTCCGAATTCTGCAAAATGAAGAATCGAGCTTCGTTTTTCTCGTTTGTCCACCGGGTCTTCCTCTTCGATTTGTCCACCGGGTCTTCCTCTTCAATTTGTCCTCCACCGGGTCTTCCTCTTCGTTTTTCTCCTTCTCCGGTTGACAAGCCCGACGATCACATGAACAAAAACCAGAAAAACGAAGCTCGATTCTTCATTTTGCAGAATTTTTTTGGCAATTAATCAGTTTTGGCAATTAATCAGAAAAAAGAGGAAAGGGACGGAGAGTGTGGGACGGAGATAACGAGGAAGAAAATGATGGAGGCTTCCAGAGAGAGGGAGAGTATTATTAGAAGAAGAAAAAGATAGAATTAATTAATATAATATTATTAGATATGAATTAAAAAATATAAAATATTGTAGTTTGTTATTATCCTTCTTTTTAGTCCGACACTGCACCAAACGCTTCACTAAATCAGTCCAGCTTAGTCTAGTCTAAGCCAGTCCAGCTTAGTCCCTGAAGCTAATCCAGTCCGAGATAGTCCGGTGCAACATGGTATATATGTGAGACATCCAATGAATTTAAAAGAGAAAAAAACAATCCCTCGACCTCTCCCTAAAGGGTAATACTAATGAAATTAAATTTGTAAACAAAATTTTAGAAATTAAAGGATATATAAATTAATGATTAGTTTATTACTTAAGCAATAAACATGCCAATTTTTATTGGTGACACATCATTATTGGGAGGGGTAATGCTAGAGATACTAAATTTGAAGATAAAATTTGCAAATTAAATGATTTATTACTAATAGGAATGAGTACGTTCATTAACGCTTAAGTAAATCCAATCATCGACTTCCATGTCATTTAGCTTACAAAATTTTATCTACAAATTTAGTTTTTGCATTACCCCTCCCCAAAATCCCAACACCATTCCCTTCCCCATCCTTGATCCCTCACGGCTTCCCCACCTCTACCCCCACGAGAGATTTTTCAATGTGACCGGAACACGAGATGGTACACTACATATCACTATACAAATAGTGAGATATGTGTGTTAAAAAAATTATTAACTTAAAAAAATTTAATTTTCCACCACTTGTATAAAAACACGTGGTGTACCATCCGTGTTCCGGTCACAATGAAAAATTTCTCCTACCCCTACCATCCCAACTAAACCCAGACCCAACCTAATCTCTCCCAAGTCCCAACTATACCCGATGGCATCCTTACCCACCTCAATTTGAAAATTTTCTTTTTAGTTTGAGCGTGAGAGAGGGGGAGAAGGGGGTTGGATGCGAGGAAGGATGCATTGGTTAGGCGTTAGTTGTGGCGTCTGTGTGTTTGCTACAACTATTCCATCTTTTTTTTTCTTAATCTCTTTTTAGCTTGTTGTGGCAGTATGTCTTTGATTGTGTGGATCTCACATAGATGCCATCTTCATTCTAAATTATTTTCTAGCAACAACAGTAAGTGAAATCAATACTGTGGAACCTTTTAGTAATTTTAATGGTTGATATGTTCAATTTTAATTGCTTTTTTCAAATACGTCAGTGCAAATAATGGAATGATATTGACTTAAGAAAGTTTGGGCCCAGTTTACGTGGAAAAGCAGACATTTTGCTTTTTACTTCGCAGTTTTTTGTACGTCGATCCAATCGTGTATGTGTATATATACTTTGCAGTGTTGCACTTCCAAATTACTTTCCAATTTCCTATAACGGAGCCTATATACTTTTTCTTCTTCATTGTTGTTGAGATGCAGGGCGAGGGTATTAGGTGCTTGAAACTATTTCATGTTTCAATATTTGTGGTGCTAATTTTGCTACAATATTGCAACCTTTCCCTATCCCTTGAATTCAATAATATTTCTTCAGGAGTAGTAGGCCACAAGCATATTGCTAAGGTGCTGAAGGTGATCAGGTGCATAGAGAGGGAAAGGGAAGCTCTGCTTGCAATCAAACAAGACCTCGTGGATGACTACAATAGCCTCTCTTCGTGGGGCAGCGAAGCCCAAAAACAAGATTGTTGTGCATCATGGGTAGGAGTCTACTGTGACGAATATACGGGACACGTTGTCAAACTTGATCTTAGTGGAGGATACTTTCTTGGTGGTCGAATATCAAGTCAGGTTGGAAACCTTACCCACTTGCAATATTTTGATTTCAATGGGAATGACTTTAACAATGTAGAAAATCTGAATTCCTGGCTCCCTCGTCTTTCTTCTTTAACATATTTAGACTTGAGTTACAACAATCTCAGTAATGTTCCTGACTGGCTGGAAATAGTTAGTAAGCTTCCTAAACTTACAAACTTGACATTAATAGGGTGTGGTCTTTCTTCTCCTGCAATTCATTCCAGTACTCTTTTTAACATAAATTCTTCTAAATCTCTTGCTCATGTTGATCTCAGTTTCAACCAGCTCACATCTTCTTCAATATTTGTATGGTTGTCCAACTTCAGTACTAGCCTTGTTCAACTTGGCCTCTCTCGCAATAACTTCACGGGTTCACTTCCTGATGTTTGGAAACATGAGCTCTCTTGCCTATCTTGATCTCTCTTATAACCAAATTGAAGGAGGGATTCCACAATCTTTTTCAGAGTTATGTAGTTTGCAAGCATTGCTCTTTCGCAACAACATTTTGAGTATACAACTTTCCAAGCTGGTTCAAACATTAATGTCTACATGCCCTGATAAGAACTCATTAGAGACTCTAAGCCTCTCAAACAATTCTCTTTCTGAATCAATTCCTAATCTCAAAAACTTTTCGTCATTGAAAAAATTAGACCTCTATGACAATCAATTGAGTGGAACAATACCTGAAAACATTGGCCATATGTCTTCGCTCGAGACTATCCGCCTTGGCATGAATGCTTTGGAAGGTGTGGTTTCAGAAAGCCACTTCTCCAATCTCTCCAGATTAATAATTTTGGATTTGTCCTCTACCCCACTAGCTTTAGACTTCAATTCTAATTGGGTTCCTCCTTTCCAATTGGTTTCCATATATTTGGGGTTTTGCAAGATGGGTCCACATTTTCCAAAATGGCTTAAGACTCAGAAAAATTATTTGGACCTTGATATTTCTAATGCAGGCATTTCTGATATCCTTCCCAGTTGGTTTTGGGGCATACTGTCTCATGATCATGAAATTGATTATATAGATCTCTCCAACAACCGAATTAGAGGAATAATTCCAAATTCAAGATTTGAGTTTACATCATCTTCCCCTCCTGATGTGAATTTGAGTTGGAACCAATTGGAAGGTTCAATACCTTCATTCCTTTCCAAAGCATCATCTCTTGACCTCTCCAACAATAAGCTTTCAGGGCCAATTTCTTTCTTGTGTCCAAAGACTCCAAACGAGGTTAGTTCATTATACTTTCTTGATCTCTCAAGCAACAATTTATATGAAAAACTTCCTAATTGTTGGACACATTTTGAAAATCTAGCCATTCTAGATTTGAGTGACAATTCCATTTTAGGGAAAATTCCTACCACAATGGGCTCTTTATCTTCTATTCAAACACTGAAACTAAATAACAATAGGTTTGTTGGGGGATTGCCTTCATCCTTGAACAACTGTACAAGTCTCATAGTTTTTGAAGTTGGGGAAAATAAATTATCAGGTTTGATACCTGAATGGTTAGGGGTTGGACTTCCAAATCTGGCTATCCTTATCCTCCGTTCTAATCACTTCTATGGAAGCATTCCATCACAATTGTGTAATATGAGAGGCATTCAAATTCTAGATTTCTCAATGAATAACATCTCGGGAAGTTTACCCAAATGCCTCAACAATTTGACTAATTTGGCTCAAAAAGGAAGTTCAAGTCTAACTCTCACTCATACCTATAATGTAACCTTGATTGGCAAGTGGGAGTATTATGAAGACGAATCATCCTTGATATGGAAAGGCATAATGTCCAAATACAAAAGTACTTTGGGGCTTGTAAAGAGTATTCATCTGTCGAGCAACCGATTAACAGGGGAGATTCCTAGTGAAATCACTGATCTTGTGGGGTTGGTTTCCTTAAACCTATCAAGAAACAACTTAACAGGTCAAATAACTCCAAAGATCGGGAAGTTGCAGTCTTTAGATTTGCTTGATTTGTCAAACAACCAAATACATGGTACAATTCCAACAAGTCTCTTTGGAATATCTGGCCTTGGTAAGTTGGACTTGTCCAACAACAACCTGTCTGGAAAAATTCCCATGGGGTCTCAGCTTCAAACCTATGAGCCTTCTGTTTTTTCCGGAAATCCTCTCCTTTGTGGAATTCCACTTGAACAAATGTGCTCTCCTGAGGAAACAACTCCAGTGGAGCAACCGGTGGTTGAGAATCAAGATGAAGATAATGATGAATTTATAACACTGGGATTTTACGTGAGTTTGGGGCTTGGATTTGTCGTTGGATTTTGGGGATTTTGTGGGAGTTTGATATTCATCAGGTCATGGAGATACACATACTACAAGTTCTTGAACTGTGTATACGATTGGCTTTATGTAAGAGTGGCTTTGATCGGGCGACGAAGAATGATTGATGTGTAAATTGTAAGTACTCTTCCACACAACAAATAATATTACTGCAGTTTTTAGTCATTTAATTCGGGATGCTAAGTGCAATTTTATACATATAACTATAGTGTAATGATATGGCATTATTGCCATCATGATTAATATCATTTTGGTCACTCTAATTGTCTTTAAATTTATGACTAATATATGCTGTGGTTTCTGAATCTCTTTAGCTCGTGCATCTACCGTTCGTAACCATGATCCCTTTCAGCTGGAGAAGAAGGAGATTGAAGAGTGCAATTTGAAGTTATTGTTTAGTGGAAGTGTTTAGATAATCTTTGAGGGGTTAGGTGTTTTTAATCCCTTTTACTAAGTTAGATAATCTTTGAGGGGTTAGCTGTTTTTAATCCCTTTTACTAAGTGTACCATTATATCCTTTTCAATAAATTTCCTTAAGAAACTTGCAAGAACTTATTAATCAAGTTACAGAGAGAAAAGCAAACAGATAATTCAATCAATATATCTAACATCATCAATTGCTGGTTCTTTAGGGTTGAGATCAGATCAGACTGCATTATCTTGACAACGGACAAAAGAATTCGAATCATTATATAATCTGATTTGAGTAAGAGCTCACTGTTGGTTGAATCGACTATATTACCATCACTCACCAACCGAGTGTACCAACAGGGCAATTCAGCATGACAGATGAACCATTGGACTGGCCGAGCAGGCAGACCATGTTTGATAGCATTGATGCATGCAGCATATCATTAACGCGAACACAAAGGAAACTGGTTCTTCACACACAGCGCCCCCAATAATGCATTGGTCCAGCTACGCAATGTTAGAAATATTCGGACCATATTTTGTAAAGATTCAACATATTTTAGCAAATTGACTGGTAGCAAGCAGTGATAATGCAGAGCATCAAACTGCTACTCATATATTAAGTATCATACACACCTCTTTCGTGAGAACAGCCTCTTCATTTGCTACAGTGAATGCAACTTGAGTATCTGTTACACATGCGGGAACTGGGATGACACAGAAAAGTCAAGTGAGTATAACATATTCAAGATGTTCCATATGAACATTTAACTATGAAAGGCAGAAATTCAGCGAGAAAACATCATTGCAGTTTAGCACTGAAATTAGAAGTTCTAGGAATTATGAGAACAAAAATGGGGCAAATTCTGAATTTGTGTGCGGAAATCATTCTCAGTTTTTATTTTGTTACTCTTCCATATACATTTTTTTAAAAGTCCTCCCCACCACCCTTCCTACACCTCTGTCATTTCTCCTTCCTCCCCGATATTTCCCCTCTATATCTTACCCAAAGAAAAAAAAATTGAAACTAAAAAATAAAAACGATCGAATTGGTTAAAAACGGAATATCCTTCAACTGTTTTATCCCTTCTTTTGTGTGTATAACTTGATCAATAACTTGTTCAGTACTAGAAGAGAAGTCTGTTGGTAGTTAAGGGCCACTACCAAAGGGTTTTGGTCCATTAATTTCCCCATTACAATGACACTTCCTATTCGTCCACAGAAAAAAGAAGAAAAATTCGATTTTACTCTGTTGTTACCACTATCTTTATGAAATATTCAATTAGTAAGTCAAATCAATACCTAGTTATTCGAGTTGTCTTTGTCTAATCTATGAAGTGAGATTTCCGCACTCCCATTATTCAATTGTTATTGAATGATATTGACAGAATTTGCAGTGTTTTGTATGTCAATCCAGTCATGTATGAACAAGTGACTCAGCTTTGACCTTTAACTACTACAACTGTAAGGCATACTTTTCTTCTGTAAAAGCTTTTTTATATTTGTCAAGATATCAGAAACTGGGCAGAATTCCAGCAAGCCTTGCTCGGATAGATCCTTTTCGTTTCTTGGGCTTGTCATACAACAACTTTTATGAAAAAATTCCAATAGGCACTCAGCTCCAAAATTTTGATCCCTCTGTTCTGGCTGGAAATCCACAACACTGTGGACCTCCACTTCAAAAATGTGTGCTGATCAACAGGAAACTGTGCTCTCTAGTGATGACGAAGAAAATAATGAGCTTATAACACGGGGATTTTAGTCAGCATAGGGCTTGGGTTTATTGTTAGATTTTGGGGACTTTGTGGTGGTCTGATTTTTGTCAGGCCATGGAGATACTCGTACTTTAGGTTCTTGAATGTTTTGAGTGGTTGGTTTTATGTGAGGATGATTTTGATCAAGCGACACTAAGCAAAGGTATGTAAATATGATTTTATATTTCTTCTTAAATTAAGCGATATGCATCTCTTCTTAAAATCTTCCTGATTAATTTGGCTGTCTTCTCTCTCTCTCTCTCACCCACCCTCCCTCTTCGGATCTGATCTTCCTTTGTCTGCGAGAGATGCGACGGTGACGGAAGACAAGATAGTTAGTATGGCAAAAAAAAAAAAAAAAAAAGGCCTAGACCACCTAGAGAGCACCTAACTACTACCTGATAAGAAATTATTTCAATATAGACATATGATAAGAACTTATTTCAATATATGACAATCCCCCCTCAAAAGAAGTGTGTGGCAACTGCCAATGGTTACTCCTATTGTTGGAGCAGGAATAGTGTGTCTTGCACCCTCTCTCCCTTTACATCATTGTTTATTGGTTCCGTCATTGTCTTATCATCTATTTACTGTACCACAAGTTATGAAAGAATTGAATTGTGTTGTATTAATGTATCTACTATTCTATGTACTTCAGGATATTCAGACCAAAGAGATCATTGAGCATGGCACTAAGAGAGATGTGATATACTATGCGGATGATGTCATTTATGGAAGGGCTAATTTGGTTCATACGTCTCATGACAGTAATCTACAGAAGATAGGGTTGTTGCATCACCGATTGGAACATGCAACTTTTGGGTATTTGAAGCATATGGTACCCAGTTAATTTTAGTGACTCAGATTTACAGTGTGAAGTTTGTATTCTTGCTAAAAGTTATCATGTTTCATTTTCTCCAAGTATGAATAAAAGTGTTTTCCCATTTCGTCCAGTCCATTCAGATGTTTGGGTATTTGTTACATTTGTTGATGATTGTACTCGTATAATATGGTTATATGTGTGTTAAAAAAATAAGAGTGATGTTGGTTTGGTATTTCAGAACCTTTATCAGATGATTAAGGCTTAGTATTCTTATGTCATTAAAGTTCTCCGTTCTTACAATGAAGGTGAACATATTGATTTGAGTTGTCCCAGTTGCTCCACAATCATGGCGTTTTACATGAAACTATTTGTCCTTGCACTCCACAACAAAATGGGATAGCGGACAAGAATAATCGCCATATCCTGGAGACAGCCCGTGCATTGCTTTTTGGCAAATCTGTTCCTAAACTTTTTTAGCCTGAAGCAGTTGTACATGCAGTGTATGTTATGAATCGTATGCCATCACGTGTGTTGGGGTTTCAAACACCACTTCAGGCACTTACACAGCATGCACATGTTGTGTCTACAAACACCCTGACCCCCTGTGTCTTTGGTTGTGTGGCATATGTTCATATTCAACAAATTCATCGTAGCAAGCTTGATTCATGTGCACTTCGTTGTGTCTTCGTTTGTTTTTCAACTCAGCAAAAAGGGTACAAGTGCTATCATCTAGAAACCCGACATATGTATACTACCATGAACGTAACTTTCTCTGAGTATGAATTGTTGGAAAATTTAATAATAATATTATTATATTAAATTTATTAATTGAATGGAAATTAGAAGTGGAGCCTTTTGGTAAAAAGATGTGTCTAATCAAATGAAGAGTTGCAACTTTTGATTCTTCATGAATAGTCACATGCTTTTCAAAGAGGTATCTCGCATTCTATAAATAGGGAATCCCCCTATAATCACAAAGAACTTTTCATCATACATACATGTAGTGCATTAAATATTAGAGAGTCTCATTGAGTTCATATGAGAGAGTTTTCAACACAATCGTGGTTCATGGAGCCTTGTGATTTGGAGTGCTACTATTACAGGGACGTGGTCGTTGTATCTTGGGAGACATGCGCCGATCAACCATGAGCATCGTAGTGGGACGTAAACTTGTCTTAAGGACAAAGTGTCCAACATTTGCCTCGACCGTATTTTCTAGGTTTTTCTAATCCATTCTATTATGTTCATTTAACATTGGTTACTCATGTGCATGTATTATTGTGATATATAATTGCATGAATTATTTCTTGATTTTTTATGTGATTTAATATAGCAATTAGACCCAATTTTTCCAACAATCTTAAGACAAGTTTAGGTTTGGTTGCTATAATTTTGTCATCAATTCCGAATTGGCATTACATACGTGTTAATTCATAGTTGCTGCTTGTTTTGCATGATTGCATGCTTGGGTTTTTCATGTTCGTTTTGACCGTTAATTTAATAAGTGCATGATCAGTTTGTAGACAACGTATTTTGTATTCATACATGTATTGTTTCGAAGAACATGCCAACTATATATGTGTTATTTTTGTGTTTTTACATATGCTTAATGTCGTATACGCGAAGTGATTCATAAATTCATAGTACAGGTAAAGCAGTGAAAAAAAAAAATTCTTGGAAACAGAATTCCAAGCCAAACGGTTAATTTGCACATAGTTTCTTATGCATGTTGTCCTCTCTCTCTGAAACAATGATATATTTGAATAATCGATTGCAATCTTTCCATGTTAATATATGAAAAGGTGGGACACCTGTTATGAAAGTCTTTATTTGGGAAGTTGCGTTCCTTGGAAGGCATGCAAACACGGCTTGTGAAATCAGCTGCGTAAGTGCGGTTGGGAAACCTGCATCGATTTCTGGAAGTTTTTGGTTTTCCAGAAAAGTTTGTTCGTTGTAATTGCAAACCAAAAGATATTTCTAAGAAAAATGAAGGACATACGTGGAAATGTCAAAGTCTGAGTAACTCTTTACGAAGGGTTGTCGCCGTTGGCCGGCTAATTGTGTTTCTTGGATAATAACTTTTCAGATCAAAGTTATGACATAAATTTGATGCGCGAGTGCCTGGGAACGATCTCTAAATTTCGGAATGGTACATTACCAATATGTATGTTTGCTAAAACCAGACATGGCTACCGTCTGAATGGACTTCTCCATTTGCGGTGGCAGCATATCGAAATTTTGGCCAAAGGAAAAACTTGGATTGATCATTGGCCATATGTGAAATCAAAGGCCAAAGATATGATTGGAAGGCCAAACCATGTCTGTAAAGCAGATTGATCTATACCTTGTTTACGAACCACATGTACATGGTTTTTATTACATTTGGGCAAAAGATTTGGTGAAAGAAATTAACCAACCAAGTCACTTGGGATAATTAGATTTCAAGAGGATGATGGAGGAGAGTTTAGTCTCCTGAATGTGACTTGTTCAACTATTAATAGTTAAATGTGACAACAAAAATGAGTTTTGCTCATGGATATAACCAAAGGGAATTCCTTTGAGAGGAATTAGTGAAAGTGTGGGGGTGTTGGGTATACTAATCAAGATGTGG